CTCTTTTCAGCAGCGCCTGTCTTACACCACGCTCAGCGACTTGGCCCTGGCGCTGCTCGACGGCACGGTGTTCGAGATCGTGCAGGGGCTTCTTGAGATCCAGCACCTCACCGAGAAGAGCCTGTACAACCAGCGACTGCGGCTGCAGAACGAACACCGGGGGGCGGGGGGCGGGACGGGGAGACCTCTCCTGGGCGTCTCTGGCCGCAGGAGCCTCGGGTGGACAGTCAGGGAGGGGTGCAGTGCCCTAGCTGTCCCTTTTAGCCTGCTGCTCAGAAACGTCTTACTTGGGTTCCCAAGGTCCCAACAGCCTTGCTGTTTATAGGCCTGTTGACAGCTGTGTCGTACTTGTTAAATAATCCGTTATTTGGAGCACCTTCCCTTTTGAGTCTCCGGCTTGCTTGCTCTCCGGTGTCTACATCGAAGCCCCTTCCTCCTATACATTATACCAGGCTGATCCCGTTGTACCATCAGGTCTCCACGCTGTACTCGGCTTCACACATTTTAGGAAAGTTGAAAGAATAGTGTGACAATGTCCCCGTGCTCTCCACTAATACTTTGCTTTGGGCTCTGTTACTGCTTTGGATTTTGATACCGAGGACTGAACCCAGGGCCTCTCACATGCTAAGCGAGTTCTCTATATTAAGTTATGTTTGCATGCAAACATTTCCTGCTTCTCTGGGACAGGCAGTGTCTGTGATGCCAGACAGGATCTCCCCATCAGACATGTGTGTTGGATTTTGTTAAAAACCTTTCCCAGTTCCTATGGAGATGATCAGGTGGTTTTTCTGTTACTACAGTGAGTGACATTAATTTCTAAGTTACTGACGTGAGCTGCATTCTGGGAATGCATCCTGTATTGTCACGACGATTGTTCTCTTATGTGTGTTGTTTTTTAATTGTGTATTTATGTGTAGTGCTCATGTGGTGCGCTTACACATACATGTATGTGTACACTTGTGTGGCCATGCATGTGGAGGCCAGAGCTAGGCATGGTGTCCTAGTTAGGGTTACTATTGCTGTGATGAAACACCACGACCAAAAGCAACTTGAGGAAAGGGTTTATTTGTCTAACATCTGCTCATCACTGTTCATCGTTGAAAGAAGGCAGGGCAAGAACTCAAACAGGGCAGAAACCTGGAGGCAGGAGCTGATGGGGAGACCATGAAAGGGGAGCTGCTTACTGGTTTGCTCCCCATGGCTTGCTCAGCCTGCTTTCTTACAGAACCCAGGACCACCAAGTTTTGCTGGCACTAGGAGTGGCACCACCTTCAATGGGCTTGGTCCTCCCCCATCACCAATTAAGAAAATGCCCTACAGGTTTGCCTACAGCTCGGTCATATGGAGACATTTTTTTTTTTTAATCAAGGCTTCCTCCTCTCAGATGACTTTAGCTCATGTCAAGTCGACATAAAAACCAGCCAGCACAGCCCCAATGTCTTCCTCTGTTGCTCTGCACCTTAGTTTGTGAGACACCAAACCTGGAGCTCACTGATTTGATCATGTGGCTGGCCAGTGAACTTAGGAGTCAATTAGCCTGTCTCTACCTCCCCAGTTCTTAGCCTACAGAGCAGTTGCTGTGCCCAGCTTTGACCTGGGTGCTTAGGATCCATGCTCATTTTACTGAGTCCCCTCCTATCCTTGTCTGTTGAATTTGATCCATGAAAACCTTAGGGGTTTTGCTTTTATTCCTGATAGACAACAACCTTGTAATTTTCTTGTAATATTTGTGTAGGTATGAAGGTAATGCTGGCCTCAGAATGTGTTGAGAAGTCTCTTCAGTTTTCCAATGAGAGTTTTATTTCTTTACCAAATGTTGGAGTGGCTGAGCCCTATTTTTCTAATGTTTTGACAGAAGTATAGGTTGTATATAGTTCACAAGTCTAAAGTACATGACTCAGTCTGTTGTTTCCTTTTCCCTTTTGGTTTTCTGAGGCAGTGTAGTCCTCCTGCCTCAACCTCTCTAGTGCTGGGATTCCAAGTCTGGGCCGGGCTCTGCTTTTGCTCATTGCTTTCAGTGTGACCATCCAGGCTTCCCCTGGCTCCTTCTCTTACATCCACCATTCTTCTGGCACTTTCCTTCCTGCACCAGAAAGGAAAGGTGTCCACTCCTGCTTTTTCTTGATCTCCCCTGACTTGACCTGGAATTGGCCATTATTCTACAGAGCCCTTTTATTTGGGATGCTCTTGGTACCTGTCTCAAGCTTTTGCCATTTGTCCTTCAGAAGGCTTGGGCCAGACTCTGGTGCATCAGGCAGTGCCAGCCTCCGAAGCCTTCAGTCAGATCCAATAGGCGGTGACTGGGATAGGCCACCTTGTTTTGCTTGGTTATTATAGTGCCCAAGCCACCCCTGAGCAAGTAACCAGAATGGAATCTGAGAGATGACCTGGGACTTTTAGCAGTGTTGGCTAAATGGATTGAAGTAGACAATGTATTCATACGTGTACCCGTTGCCTCAAGCTTGTGTCTACCTCATGTTCACTGCAACCAGATAATTAGGCAATCTCTTTCTTGCCCTTGTGTTGATGGAATTATGTTGAGGTGGCCCTTGTTTTCAAACAGCAATGATAGTGGTATCATTGAGGTACATACAGAATGCTGAGAACTAGGGGCACTGTAGAGGCTATCAGGCCTCAGGAACCTTCTTTATTTTATTTATTTATTTATTTATTTATTTATTGGTTTTTTGAGACAGGGTTTCTCTGTGTAGCTTTGGAGCCTATCCTGGCACTCGCTTTGGAGACCAGGCTGGCCTCGAACTCACAGCGATCTGCCTGCCTCCGCCTCCCGAGTGCGGAGATTAAGGGCCTGCACCACCAACGCCTGGCAGGAACCTTCTTGAATATAGCTGTCCTGTGACTCTTCTAGGAGTAAGAATGTTAGGGTTTGAGTTTGCTCTGGGCCAGCCAGCCACACTCCTATTTTATGTGCAGACTGGTGCGGTGCATTCCGTTTTGTGATCACAACCCTTATCATCCCATGATATCATCCCTTACCATCTCTCACTGTGCTATCAGGGCAGACCGTTTGTCTGTGTCCATATGAGTGGCACAGTTTATCAGGGTCCAGGTACTTTGCTTGCTGGTAGAGGGTAAAACACCAGACTTCACAGTGCAGAACCCTACTGGCTCACAGTATACTCTTCACCTCCTCTGGCTGCTGAGCAGGGGCTGCTCTGCTTACCTATAGGGTAGCACAGGACACTCATAGGCCTTTGGCTCTTTAATACTTCAGTAGGTGTCCTTGGGTGATGTCCTATGGATATGTCCAAGATAGCACAGCTAGAACTCTGCCACCTGAGTCCAGCGACCTTAGTCACCTGTCTGCCTCCTGTCCCTGCCCTGGGTGTGCTGAGATCATTGCCATACCTACTTAACCTACAGTCCTCTAAGCACCCTGGAGGTGAAGGACTTCTTAGACTAGGCCTCTAACCCAGCTTTGGGCTGCCCCTCTGTTCCCAACGCCTGCTCTTGCTGACGGCTCTCGTTCCCTCCTAGTGCTCAGGCAGGCTCTCAGGCAGAAGCACCTGGAAGCCCAGCAGACTTGCCGGCCCCACAACTTGCCAGTGCTCCAGGCAACTCAGCAGCACGAGCTGGAGGTAGGAGCTGGGATGGGATGGCTGGGCCTGGCTCAGTGGAAGGGCTGAGGGTGGTTCAGAAGCTGAGTTCATGGCTCGCTGGAGGTTTGGTGAGGTCCAGCCCATGGCTTCTCCCCATGGGTACTGAGAGGAGAGTCACAGCCCATCTGTCACTCTCCTATTCCTCCAAACAAGCATGTCTGTGGACTGGAGTAATCACTGAGTCATAGTGATGAAGTGCAATGGTGGGATAACAAGAGCGTTCAGTCAGGAAGAGGCCCATATTATCACAGAGCTCAGGGTCAGATGTAGACCCATAGGAAGTCAGCAAGCCATGGTGATAGGGGTGAGGATGGTGGCTCCAAAGAGTAAATGACAGGTCTCACAGGCATTTCCAGCTGGGACTGTTGGGTATAGCCTTATGGAGCCCCTTTGCTGAGCCACAAGCAAGGATGCCACAGCCCTGGAACCAGAACCACTATGGGGTGGGCAGGGTAGCCAGGAGGAAATAGCAGGGAGGGATGTGTTTGAGACATCCCTGGGCAGAAACCCTAGCAGGAGCCATCCTCACTCAAGCCATGGTAGGCCATGGAACATCGAATCCGAGAGGAGCAGCAGGCAATGGACCGCAAGATTGTTCTGGAACTGGACCGGAAGGTTGCTGACCAGCAGAGCACACTGGAGAAGGCAGGGGTAGCTGGTTTCTACGTGACCACGAATCCTCAGGTCAGTACCTAGGCCAGCCCTGCCACAATCTGTGTCCCTGGCCCCTGAAGGTTCTGTTCCATTCTATCTGGAGCTTGTTTTATGTTTGTTTTGGATTTTGTTTTCTTTTGGTAGAGGGTAGTATATTGCTTGTTTTATTTTTATTTATTTATTTTTGGAGGCAGGGTCTGCTGCACTGCTCAGGCTGGCCTTGAACTTGAGGTCCTCCTGCCTTGCCATAAGCACAGGAATTACAAGCAGTGCTAGTCCACCAGTCCACCTGGAGTCTTAGCACATTGATTCCTAGTGAAGCTTAGTTATTGGTCTGCAGAGTTGAGGTGGAAGGCCCAAGGAGGGCATGGAGGTGATGCCCAGCTGTCTAGCCTTGCAGAGCCTCCTACCTACCTCCTGCAGCCACTCTAAGAAAGCCAGTGAGACTGCTGCCCCTGTTAGGTGCCCAGATCCTCCCTCTGCCTGCCCATGGCCAGCTTCCCCGTAGCCTCACTACCTGCCATCTTCTAGGCTAAGAAAAAGGGCATGGGGTGTTGGGCTGGCCCTTACAGGGCCTCTTTTACATCCCAGGAGCTGACACTGCAGATGAACCTATTGGAACTCATCAGGAAACTGCAGCAGAGGGGCTGGCAAGTGGGAAAGGCAGCCTTGTGACTAAGTGGGGGGTCCCTGCTGTCCTCCATTGCCTAGGATGGCTAACAACCCCATCCTGTCACTGTTGCCAGAAAGGTTCAGGGAGCTACCGATTGTCAGCTGCCAACACGTGCGATCTTTGTGAGGAGACGCACCTGTCACCATCCTCTGTTCGGATTTGGGGGGGAGGTCCAAGAAATAGGAATGGTGTCAGGAGAAGGCCCATGACTGAATGTGAGTGGGACTATCGCTCCTAATGCCTAACCTTCTGGGTGTACCCACATTCCCTCCAGGCTTGGTTTTGCCTTGTTCTGGTATGATCCCTACCTTGACAGTCCCAGCCTTGGGTGGAAGAAGCTCCAGAACCCAAGTCCTGTGTGGCCTAGAAAAATAAACACCCCAGCACACGGTTTGTGTCCATGCGAGCTAGGATCCTTTCCTAATGGCTCTGGCCATGCTGGAGCTACCAAGTGGCAGCCACCAAATGGTCTTCTGGGATACCCAGCCAAACCCTTATGCCTTTCATTATCATTTTTGCCTGACCAGGTCTCCCAGTTAAGGCACAAGAACCCGCCCCAAACTGCTGTGTGAAACTGGGGAGCTTAGGAGGTGGGGAACTGCCACAGACCCAGCTAGGGCTTGAGTTACTGGAGTGAAGGGTTGGAAGGGAGCTGGGCCTCAGCAACTGTGTGCTGCCTGTACTCATCCACAACCTATGGGTCTGGGATGTGGATTGTAAGTGGCTGAGTGTCACTACAGCCAGGCAGAAGTGTCCCCAGTGTCTGGATTGGGACGGCCTCTGGCAACTCCAAGTAATACCCCATGCAGGCCAGCTCCTCTACTGCTCACAGCTGACTCATGTGCATGAACGTGGTAGCTCTCTGGTACAAAATGATTTATTCACTAAGTGGGATTTACACTGGCCATGGTGACACAAGCCTTTAATCCCAACACTTGGGAGGCAGAGGCAGGTGGATCTCTACGAATTTGAGGCCAGCCTGGTCTACAGAGTGAGTGCCAGGACAGCCAAGGCTACACAGAGAACCCCAACACACCCAAAGCTGTGCCCTGCCCCAGAGGTAACAGGTTGAGTGGAGTAGGTGTGGGCATGGTCATTGCAGTGACTAGGCTGGATGGTGGAAGAGGTTGCCAGTGCGCAGCCGCCTGCGGAGCTCCTGCCATAGCAGCTGCCTCTCTCGCTGAGCACCCTTCATGATGCTGCTGTTCTCCAGGGCACGTCGGGACAGGTAGGGCAGCACCTCCATCACAGGACCGTAGGGTACATACTTGTACACAGGAAATCCTGCCTGGCCTATACACACACAACTTTGAGTGCCCATGCACAACATGGTGTACCTCCCACCCCCTGCATGCACCCAGGACAACACAGCTCACCTAATGGGAAGCTAATTTGGTCACACATCCCCAGCAGCTGTCCGAAGCACACCTGGCCATCATCAGGATGCAGGCCTAACTCCTCCATCCTGTGAAGGGGGCCAGGCTGGTGATGAACGCCCTCCCCCCAACAGGACACAGGCACCCTGATGCATCTCTGAGCCTCTTTCCCTTCTCCTACATTGTAGCCAGTCTCCTATAGGGTGGGCAGGGATGTGAGCTCTGCTCTAACTTCTAGGTCTTCCCAGGACAACAGACTTGCTTTTTCACATCCCACTGCCTCTGACTCCCCTTCTCCACCTCCAGTGCCCTCTGTAGCACTCTGAGCTTTGCTAGTGACTGATAACCCAGCCCTGCTTCATTCTCCCTTGCTCACTGCACAGCTGTCATTTGGTCTGAATGAAAGGTGTAAATGTACTAGATATCACATGCTATCAACATGTTAATGACTCAAAAGAGAAAATTTAAATAACTTCATTTTTAACTTGGCTACTAGGAAAATTATAGCTATGACTGGATTACATTGCATTTCGTGTATATGTGCTTAGTGTTCATGTATGTACATGCCTGTGACCAGAGGTCCCTTGGGTATTGTTCTTCAGGAGCCATCACTGATTTTTGAGACAGTTTGTCATCCCAGGGCTCAACGATTTGGCTAAGCTGGCTGGCCAGCAAGCCCCAGGAACCCTCCCGTGTCTGCCCCCACAGTGCTGGGGTCACAAGCTCTTACCCCTACACCCAGCTTTTTCACATGGGTCCTATGAATCAAACTACAATCTTCATGCTTACATGCCAAGCACTTGGAAGTCCCTTCCCCGGCCGCCTCCTGCTCGATTGAAGGGGGGGGGGCAGTTGTCAGAACCCTCCTGTCTTCTTACCGCTCTCCATGGCATCTGACTAGCTAGTCCTTGTTTAAATGTCTGCATGGTGATGATGGCCTCATCCTCATATTCAGCATCATGTTCAGCCCATTCCTGAACTCAGGGCCCCACCTCAGCACATAAGGGTCCTGGGTCTCCTTATACCCTATCATGGTAAGGCCTGGTTCCCATCCCTTCCCCTAACACTCAGTCCCCTGTCTGACCCAGGCTGGCTAGAGCATGGCAGAGCTCTGCAGACAGCTGCTTTCCCAGGTCTTTCTCTCCAAGACTAGGCACCAACGTCCACATTTTAGGTGGCCGTGGAATATGTGCAGAGGCCTGCTCACCTCTCCCTCGCTGCCTTCTCCTGGCAGTCACATAATTGTGTTTGAGGTGCCTAGTGATTTCAAGCTGTGAGAAGCACCATCCTGAAAAATGTTACAGGGCCACTGGATGGTGTTTAGCTGGCAGTATCTACCGGCTCCCCTGACACTCTGCCCAGCCCCGCCTTTCAGCTTCATTGCTCCTTTAGGAAGCTCCCTAGGGTATCCCATGGCTAGTCCACTGTGCCATGGAGCCCAAGCATGGTTCCTGGGAGCTGACTCAGCAAAACCACTATCCAGAGTCTACCAAATTTTTTGTATCCAAATCCAGGAACATGGAGGTGGGGAATGGGGATCACTGGGCCCTGGTATGGGTTACAGGATGAGATACGTAACTATGGGAAATTTCTGGACTCTCCAAGACTTTACTTGCTTTTGTATTTGACTTGTTAGAACCCTACCAAAGTTGCACATCTTGGGATAAGGATTTAAAGAGAAAAATGATCATGTAAATTCCAATGCAGTTGAAAATGCTACAGGAAACTTGGTAAACATTGAGGCCGCACTTGGTAAGGCTTCCCAGGGGCCCAGGGACCTAACCCCAGATCTGTCTCTTAGCCATTTTTTTTTTTTTTTGTCAACTAGTATTTTATTTTTGAACTAAATAATTAGTATTTTAAAAGCTAATGTAACTTTGAACTCTTGGAGGATAAGGTCAAGAATGACAGACAAGCCTAGGGCCTTTTGGCAACTATAGGCTGTGGCTTTGCCTGCTCTTTTCACATGATCACCACCACCAAACACTTAGCAGCACCTAATGGGTCCCATGGGTTCCCAGAGACTTGCGCCACCTGCCACCCACAAACCTCCAACTCAGGCTGGCAGATCCTACCTGCAGAGTGTGAAGCGTACTGTGTCCTCATTGTGGGAAGCCACCATCACCTCTGCCTTGGGTCTGTGCTTCAGCTCTTCCAGAACATAGTTGAGGCACCTGGGACAGGGACAGTCCTACATAAGCTTGCCTCCAGGCCAACCACCACCTTAACCCCTCTTGGTTCTGCAGAGGAAAGTGCTGTGCAGGACCCTGAACCACCCAGCAGTCTGACTTCTCTGAGGCAGCCCTGATTGCAGCTGCAGCCAGAGCCTCAGAAGGCAGGAGGCTCATAAGTCAGGAAGATAAGGACATTCACAGCAGGAGCCCACTGCACCAGTACAGGAAACCCAAGCAGTTACAGATTCACAAGTCCCTTCCACGGTTAGAGAAGCAGTAAGCAAGTGCTGGGGGAAGACTCTGTGGGGCTGCCTGCAAGTTGTTCAAGGGGCTCCAGGTGCAGCTTCCATTGCGTTGTCCTCTCTGCTGGGATGGGCTTTTCACTGATGCCCCTAACTGTGTATGTAATGGCAATATAAATCCATTTGTTGACTAAACTAGATTTGAAAGGTATTGGTCTGTCGTTGGTGTCCTGTCTGGGTGAACAGACACTTATTCACATCTCCCCAGCAGTAGTGCTCTGTGAAAGGAAGGACCGACATCATCCTACCAGGGCTGGCAGGGCCTGCCTGCAACCGTGGCTTTGCTTCTGGACGGGGCCCTATAGCACATTCCTGGCTCTTCAAGAAATAAAAGTGGAGGCCTCAGGGAGGGTGAGTATCCCTGAGCACCAGAGAATTTCAGTGTTATTGTCACCAAGGACACTGTCAGCCTGGACAGCACACGTGCTGTCTGACCCAATAGGCCAGTTTCTAGGAACATGTTCCAGCTGTGCTGTGACTGCACATGTGTACAGCAGAGGGAGGCAGGATGTTCAGTGAGTCGTTACTATAACCAGAAAAGGCCATGAACATACCCTTGGGTGGACAGCTGTCCTGGAAACTGTGCTGATGTAGGAAATAGAGTAATTAAGTAAGAAGCAAGGGGCAGAGAGAGGGCAGAGTGCACAGTACAACACTGGCAGGTGGCACTGCCTGGATATACGGCAGACTCGACATGGAACAACAGGAAGGAGCCAGAGCCCAAGGAGACAGGGTGTCAGGTTTGCAATAAGCAAGCACAGCCTTGGGAAAAAGGGGCCTACCCCTGACGGCATGCTCTGGTAATGTCAGTTATGTAGGTAAGCTGTTGTCTGAGTTCATTGAGACACTGGCTCTAGAAGTGGGGTTGCTCCCACACTCCAGATCAAAGCATATTTCTGTCTGAAGTCCTCTACCCACCCGGTTATGTCAGGCAAGCCCCTTGGTTCTGTCACCACGAGAGGGAAGAGCGGTAGCTAAGGGTGTTAAAAACAGGATGTTCATAACAGCTAGAAGTTGAAAATCCAAACAGAGTTAACACTGTTTATCTCACAACAAAATGATCACAGCGGGAAAGGCAAAAAGCTGGTCCTGCAGAGAAAACAGCTGTGTCCTGGGCTTTCCATCAGGAGCCCCAGCTTGACGGATGGACTGACTGGGTGGGTGGGTAGGTGGGTGGGGCTTCCCTTTTGTTTGCTCTCAGTTGGGCTACTCCAGCTGTCTCTGCTTGACATTGTGAGCCCATGATTTGGTAATGTTTACTATCTCTCTGCTGCTTTTCTCCATTTATTCTTTTACTTTTGCCTGCTATATGCCTAATAAACTCACCCAAAACTGAATTCATAGCTAGCACAGATCATCCTCCATAATGTACAGAACAACTACACAAAAGATCCCAGTGATAAACAGAAAGAATAGGTGTGCCACCTGCCACATGAGCTGAAAAAGACAGGTTGAGCCAGCCACATGGGGCATGCCAGACACCTGGTATGGATCTCTTTCCCCTTAGCCTCCTCCCCTGTCTCATCTCATGTATCCCAGGCTGATCTCAAACTCACTTTGAAGCCAAGGATACCTTTTAACTGATCTTCCTGCCTCCTCCCAGGTGCTGGGAGTAAAGGTGTCCACAACCATGCCTGCTTTATGTGGTGGTACTAGTGTTCAAACCTAGGGCTTCAGGCATGTTAGGCAAGCACTCTACCACGTGAGCTATACCAGTTGTTTTAAGTGTCAGCAGAAGCTAACTGGGGACAGAGGCCAGTACCTATCCATATTCAAAAGAGGAGAAATTTGGTGGTTTTGGGAAAAAATGATACGACAGCAGCAGAAATAGCACTTTTGCCCTCCAGAAACTGGCCCTGCTTGAATGGGGTCATCACACTCATGGCCAAGGTTCTCATGCATTGTTCCAAGAAGGCACAGAAGGCCCTCTCACCTGTGGTACATGACATTGGTGGCCTCATATGTAGGATTGACGGGGTCCTCATAGCCGATTTCCACAGCCCTGGCACGCTCTTGGGCCATATATGCACCACGTACCAGCTTGGCCCCAAAACACCATCCCTCACGGCGAGCCAGTTCCATATCCATGGTCACATTGTCATAGGCATCCTGCAAGACCAAGCTCTAAAGTCACAGGGAGCCCCATTAATGGCAGCACAGGGACTATCTGCTTCATGTGTATCTCAGCTCAAAGTGCCCATGCCAGCCAGTGACTACTTGAGGGAGACATGTGGATGAAGCTGGGCCTCCAACTTCCACCCCCAAGGAAAGGTGACTGGGGCCATCTACAGCCTCCTCCGCATAGGTTGAGATGGCCTTGTGGGTGGTCAACCCAGATACCTGGAGTTACTGTGTATTTCAGAGTCACTTCAGCCAGTTAGAAGCAAGCCGCCACCTGTCTAGGACTGTCCCCATACACACCA